CTTGTACGAGCACAGCTAAGCACCTGTGAGCCATCGTAAAATCCTCAAACACTAAAACCTCATTGTTGATTTTCACCCTCCCATGAACCCTTGATTAAAAGTTTCCAACCTTGTCCTAGAGCCCCACAAGGTTTCTGCTGATCCGAAAATGACTTACAGCAAAATATCTGTCCACCTAGGCTATAGTCCTGTTCATCCCACATATCCAGCATGGGACATCTCCTACACCAACCACTTTTTGGTTCCCCCTACACATGAGCGGGTGTCAGCTGGGGATGAGCACGCATGGCGCCAATGAGCAGTGAGGTACAGACAGGAGTGACCCAGACAGAGGAGTGACAGCAGTGAGGTACAGACAGGAGTGACCCAGACAGGAGTGACAGCAGTGAGGTACAGACAGGAGTGACCCAGACAGAGGAGTGAGAGTGAGGTATGGACAGGAGTGACCCAGACAGAGGAGTGAGAGTGAGGTACGGACAGGAGTGACCCAGACAGAGGAGTGAGAGCAGTGAGGTACGGACAGGAGTGACACACACAGCCCCAGCAGGCCTGACTCACCCATGCACAGCCAGTTTCAAGTCTGGTACACAGATGTTGTCCTCTCCGCAGTCCAGCAGAATCTGGGCCTAAACGCAAACACACACAACAAACAGACACCTGTGAAGTAGGTCTGAACAGAGGGAGACCGTGAGAGAGACTGATACGCCAGTAGCCAGCCATCCAGAAACGCAATGGATTTCATGGGCATTTGCTGGTTTCTGGCAGACAAAACATGGACAGGATTGAGTTTTACCACCCTGCTGCTGCAGCTGCAGTTCTTCCCACAAGGACTAAAAGACCATATTGAAGGGGACCCCTGAAAACAGCAGCAACCAAGGTGATTTGAAATGACAAGCCTGCTGTGTGAAAAAAAGCCGTGCTGATATTTAAATGCCCTGATCTCTGTGGTCTTGAATAAAAATCCACATAAACAGATGTAAAACACAAACTGCCTTTAAGAGTCTACGCTGCACAAACCATTTACAATTTGACTGCAGGAGTTTTATCATGTTATGTTTTATTGCTTGTATATAATATCCCCTTCAATCGGTTAACAACTGTCCAGTCAGGAAAAAAATTGGTGCAAGTTTTCTGAGGATATTCTCCAGACAAACAAAACAGTGATCAACTGAAAACCATTTGACTTCTCAAAACTTTATTTTAAAAACCTTTTCTGTCACAGCCAACTGGATACAGTTCTGTGACCGCCACATTCCACCAGGGAATAAGGGATACAAAATCCCATCGGCGCTCCATGAATCTTCCGAGCTCCTCCTGAAACAATCCGGCCAAGTCACACAACTGCACATCCTCTGAAGTGGGAAAGTAGTGTTATTTTTTCACTTTGAGACGCAGCCCCCAGCTCTCACTACAATTTCAAGTGAAGTAAAAACTGAGGATCAGGCACAGAATCAGGTCCTGCAGTGCTGTGTGACTAAAGGTGTGAAAAGCTCTATTTCTCAAACCTGGAGCAGAGACAACTGCAAAGAATTCATTCCTGTTCGCCATCTTTACCAGGCCTGACATGGGGAACCCACTAGCCTCAAGACCTGAGACAAATTAAAACTGAAGAATTAAACTGCATGAATATGGAGAAAGGGAAGCTTTACACAAAGAGTGGTGGGTGCCTGGGATTAAATATTGAGCCGAATTGCAAAACCTGATTCACTGGGTTATTGCAAAAAGCTGTGTGGGGGAATTCCCTGGACCAGCACGCTCTCCTGCGGAACCCATCCAGCAAAAACACAGGCCGAATGGCCTCCTCCACCTTGAAACCTCTCCTTGTGTTC